GCGTCCCACCACCCCCAGCATCGCCCACCACCTCCGTCATCCCGACGGGGTGAGGTTTGTGGAGGAGCCTGGAGCCCAGTTTGGTGCTGGGGGGTTTGTCTGGACTGTCCCTAATTGGTCCCCATGGCTGTGTCCCTCTCTAGGGCTCCTACGGAGTGGTGAAGCTGGCTTACAACGAGGATGATAACACCTACTATGTGAGTAGCGCACGTCACCAGAGCCCGCAGCGGGGCGAGTGGGATGGAGGATGGAGACGGATCCCCTCTGCTGACTCCTTGCCCAGCTCCATCCCACCGGCCCCGTTTTATCCTTGATTTGCCCCGAATCCCATATTTTTTCCCATTTTGCAGGCAATGAAGGTTCTCTCCAAAAAGAAGCTGATGAGACAGGCGGGGTTCCCCCGTAAGGGGGGCAAAAGCTTTAGGGGGAGAGATGATCTGGGGACCCCGAGGGGCTCATTCCCAACGGGACACCCTGTCTTTGCCTTTCCCACAGGCCGCCCACCGCCCCGCGGGGCCAAAGCTGCCTCCGAGGGCTGCGTGCAGCCCAAAGGGCCCATCGAACAGGTCTACCAGGAGATCGCCATCCTGAAGAAGCTGGACCACCCCAACGTGGTGAAGCTGGTGGAGGTAAGAGCCAGCCAACCCCTTCCCAAGACCCACCTCGAGCGTGAAAGAGCCTGGATGCTGCGGAGATGGGCTACACATGGGCTTGGGAGGAGGGGAGTGACCACAGAGGGACTGGGATGGCTGTGGCAGGTCCTGCCTACTGGAGACTCGTTTTTTCCACGGTTTAAAAGGCTTTTTATTCCCACTTCCTAAAAGAAGATTTTTTTTTTTTTCTTTCCTGCCCAGAAAGGGAAATGCAGAAAAAATGTTGCTTCCTTGGAGGAAACAAGTGCTCAGATGGGTTTCGGGGTGGAACTGGTGTTTCTGCAGGTTCTGCGGTGCAGTCGCCCAGCCTTCCGCCCACTGACTGCATGAAACGGTCCAAAATTCAAGAATTAAAGATGTGCAGGCTGGAGTTTATTTAGCTTATGAGTCAGATGATGCTTCTTATGTGTTTTAAATATTTACTTCCTTGAAGTACAGCTATATCTCTGTCCCCTTTTTCTCCCCCCACCCCTCGTGGGTAGAAGCTGGGAGATGAGCAGACCACGCTAACGGTGCAGATGGTGCAGAACTGAGATGGCCGCCAACTAAAGAATCACAGTGTTTCATTTGCAAGGGTTTTTTGGCGTTGTTTAATTTCCTTTCCGCTTCTTTCGGCAGGTCCTGGATGACCCCAGCGAGGACCACCTGTATATGGGTAACTGCCCGCTGCCCTGCGGTGCTCGCGGGGTGTCAGAGATGTTGGGGTTTGCCAGGGAAAAGGATTCCCTCCACGTTTTGGGGTGGCTCTGTGCAGGGTTGGGTCTCTCCTCCGGAGCGGGTATGGCCTGGATGTGCTGGAGGTGCGAATCCCCTCCAATGGTTGGAGCAAAGGGAACCCAGTCTGGGTTTGGAAGGGAGACGGGAGTGATTTACATGCTTTGCCACGGGTACCAGCATTTATGTTCTCAGCTTCAAAGCCAGAAAGTAGCTTTGTTTCTTTGGCTTCGAGAACAAGGCACATGTTAATGATCCAGGGTACAAACGAGCTCCTTCCCAACCTGTCTTGCAGACTGCATGGTTTGCCTGATGTAAACACACAGACTTTTGGAGGAGGCATTTCTTCTCCATCCTTTATGTTCAGCCTGTACTAGAGGAGGAGCGGGCGATGCCTTCATGGCCGAGCGCAGAGGTTGGCTCGGGGTGTGGGCTCAGCCCCGGTTTTGCAGGCAAACCGAGGGGTTTTTGTGTCCATGTGGAGGGCACCTCATGATGCTGAAGCTGCAGCACTGAGAAGGTAGTTGGCAGCATCTGTTTAATTAAAAATGGAAGCAACCAAAACGCCATGTGCCTTCCATAAGATGGCATCTCCTTTTTATTAAAAACCCATTTTTAGAATTTTTGTCATTAAAATAATCGCTTTTGTGCTGAGACTGTGCTCGCAGGAGTTCTAACCTGTAAGTGATCCATAATCACCTTCTCTTCTGTGTTTCAGTGTTTGAGCTGGTGAAGCAAGGGTGAGTATTGGACTCCAGATTTAAACCTACTAAAGCATGAACGTGAGATGGGTTCGTGGGTGGCACAGCTCGGCCACCCGAGACGGGCGCGGGACGCAGAGGCGATGGGAAGGTTCATGGTGGGTCCCCTACGGGTTTGGGTATCACCTGCCCAGCTCAGTTACAGTTATGTGCACCCTATGTGCCTGTGTTTGGGGCCATGTGCTGTCTCCGGCCAGCAGCGAAGCCTCCAGGATCTGTTTCAGTGCATCCAGATGGGGAACAAGCTCCATTCTCTGTTGCCTTTGCAGCCCCGTGATGGAAATCCCAACCTTGAAACCTCTCAGTGAGGACCAGGCTCGGTTCTACTTCCAGGATCTGATCAAGGGCATCGAATACTGTGAGTGTCTGTGCAGAAAGGATGGGATTTCTTGTTTTTATTTTTTCCTAAACGCCTGGAGCTGGACTTTCTGCTGACGTACGGTGCTGTTTCTGGTGGCTCGTGTTCCTGCACAGGGGTTTTTGAAGCTGGGGCTGGTCGTGGTGTCAGCAGAAAGGCTTACAGCCTTGCAGGGGCTTCATGGCTCCTGTGCTGCTGCTGAATCGCTTGCTTTCCCTTCGGCTGCAGTGCACTATCAGAAGATAATCCACCGGGATATCAAACCTTCCAACCTGCTCGTGGGGGAAGACGGGCACGTCAAGATCGCCGACTTCGGAGTGAGCAACGAGTTCAAGGGAGCCGATGCCCTCTTAACCAACACAGTGGGCACCCCTGCCTTCATGGCCCCGGAGACACTCTCGGAAACCAGGAAAATCTTTTCCGGAAAGGTATTTAATAGCTATTTGAGGGTTTTGGGGCTAATCTTCCTTGTGCATGCTGTCTGTTGCAGATCTAACTACGCTTTCTTTGCTCTGCAGGCTTTGGATGTCTGGGCCATGGGGATCACGCTGTACTGCTTCGTGTTTGGGCAGGTAACAAGGTTGATTTTCAGTGCTGTCAGTGGTCCAGTGGGGTTTGGTGTGTGTCTCCCACGTGCCAGATACGCAGTGAGATTTACACCCTGCATCCCTGTTCAAGCAGTCGGGTATTGCTAAGGGAAGACGGGGATGTGTGGGTGGAAAGGAGAAACCTCTGCCTGTCCACAGGATGAGTGCAGCCAAAAGGGCCATGTTTCTCTCTGTTCCCGGGGAA